ATAATACTAGACTTGGCTCGGCTTGACTCGACTCGGCTCGTTGGGCTCGCGAGCTTTAATACTCATTCGGAGCTTTACAAATAATCACATGTTAGAAATTTATATGGAATGTTATTGGCTGAAATTCGAGGATCAGTCACATGTTATTGTTGATAATATCTTTCAATTATATAAAATCAGTTTTTTAACATTTATAAATGTATTACGATGTAGTGTGGTATAACAACGAAGCTTGCAAAAAATTATAATTTTTTAATACAAATATAAATTTAATACTACACAAGATACATAATAAATTTTTTATCAATGTTTCATATATTTATTTGCTTGATTTGTTAGTTTTTATTTTGTATTAATTCTGTACATTATTTGATTTTTACACATTAATAAAGGTAATCTTGATAACTTATTTCATATATATAATCGTGTTTATTTTTAACAGGTATATTTTGTGAATTTATTCATTGTATTGAACAAATCTATGACATATAAAACATCATGTAACCCAGGAAACTCAAAGAATTAAGGATTATATAAGTAATCAAGCTACTATGGGTTATAAGACATATTTATTATATTAATACATTTTTGCTTTTAAATTCTTATCGAAGTTGTAATTAGTAAATCAGTTTGGCTTCCATTAACAACAGGTATTTAAAAATGTATAAGCATTTAAGAACTTGAATGGGTTTCCTGGCTCATGTGCATAGGCCATTTGATCCGTAATGCCATTCCCACAAAGACATATTTTTGGTCATTTAGTACAACTTATTTTTATATACTCCATCTATATAGTCAATTAAAAAACAGGATGTTAACTTGCTAGTTGAATTTTGATTTATTGTTATAATGGTATAGATTTTAGGGCTAATGTTTTTTCTATTTTGTTTGAATCATGTTGGCATCATATGTGGAAATTCACGATGTAAGTGGTGAATCTCGTGAAGTTTCAAGAAAAAGATAATCAAAACACTTGCCCATGATATTCTTTTTTAGCAAGATTTTCTTGCACGGAAAAGGAAGAAAAATCCTTGTGTTTTTATTTTTATTTAATCTTAATGATAATCGATTTCGTAATGGTAATTCGTATCCATTTTGAAATCGATTACCATTAAGAGTGACCTCCCACTCACCCTCCAGGAATCTATGTTCTTTATATAAAAAAAAAATAAAATAAATAATTCAAAGAATATAATAGATTTGTGTAATGGATTTTCAAAAATCCATTACATGAATCTATTATATTCTTTGAATTATTTATTTTTTTTTAACCAAATATGGTAAAGTGATAAAATATAAAAGTAAATGAAGTGTCATTATTTATTATAAATAAAAAATAAAAAATTTTTGCTACACTATATTTTCGCTATATTTAGATATTTTATTAATATATTTATAATTTATTATTTATTATGGTTTAATCTAATGTGATAAATTATTATTTTTTTTTTTTAACCAAATATGGTGAAGTGATAAAATATAAAAGTAAATGGAATGTCATTATTTATAAATTCCACTAAAAATTTTTGCTACACTACATATATTTTTGCTATATTTAGACATTTTATTATTATTATTTATAATTTATTATTTATTATAGTTTAACCAAATGTGATAAAGTAATTAATTAAATATAAAGGTTAAATGTTATTATTTATAAATTCTACTGATGAAAAATAAAGATATTTTTGTCAGATTTAGGTATTTTAAATATTATTATTTATTATTATTATTATAATTTAACCAAGACATGATAAAGTAATTAAATGTAAAATTAGATGGAATGTTCTTACTTAGATATTTTATTATAATTATTCATTATTATTGAATTATTATGGTTTAACCAAACATAATAAAGTGATAAAAATATAAAGGTAAATGTTATTTGACAATATGAAAAAAGATTTGAACAATAAAATAAAAAAAAAAACTCAAGTCTTCACATAGGATTTCAAATTCCTTTCCTTTTTCTTTTCTTTTGAAATTAAATTTTTTTCTAGGATAAATTGTAAAGAAATAGAATTCTGAATTTTTTTCCTTGATAATAAAAAAAAACTTTTTAAATTAAGATGCCTGCAAAATTGATGACCATCTGCTATATTCATGATTTTACTGATCGCATAGCATTTGATTTTACAATTAAAGAAATTATCGGTATTGTTAGGCTAGATAATAATGATTTCCAAAAAATTATGTATTTGAGAATTAAAGCTTTTGTTCCACTGGACCCAACTATAAAAATATAAATTGAGGAGTTTGAAAAGGAACAAGTAATTCTTTTAACTAGAAAATTTGTAACCAACAATGGATGGTACACAGTAAGTACTTTAAACAGATCTTGATTAATGAAATTAAGAAATAAAAAAAAAAGAGAATACTAATTAATTGATATATTTTTATTTTAAGGTGAGTGCCACCTCCATTCAAGTTTTATTAAGTTTAGAATTTGATACCATGCCAGCTATAGGCCTTCAAGTAATGTTAACTGGAGTAACCACACAAACAGTTCAGAACTTTGAGGAAAAGGCAGTGATGAATTTTTTTATTGAAGAGTATCTTGGAAATAGAGAACCTAAGGATTTTTGGATCGAGATGAAGCATGAAATCAACAATCAATATCTCACAAATAAAACCAATACAATAAATTTGAGTGGCAGGTTAACAATAGCTACCTTAATAGGTTCCATGAAATACAAACTTTCAGTTATTGACCCTATAACTTCCCAAGAGACTGAATCAGAAAAACACATTTTAGAGCTGGTTGACATGTCTATACTTTCAACCAACCGTTCAGAAGAAAATAGGAGATCCTTGAATGTTCCCTGGTCAAATAATTCTAGAAGAACTAATAGATCAATTCGTGGTGTCACACCAAGAACTTTAACAAGAAGGGGCTGTACAACATTAGCTCAAATGGGTTCAACTGTGAGAGCAACATTGGATGCAAATCCAATTCCTAACATGAATACTAATCAACAAATCCCATCAAATCAATCTTCACCAGATCAACCTTCATCATCAATTCAACAAGATAATGATGATAATTAAAAAAAAAGATTCTTTTATTTTTAACCACATATTTTTAAACTGTTACTTGTAATGGTACAGATTAATTAAGGAAAAAAAATGGTTTATTTTTATTTCGTAATTTAAGAAAATATTATTTAAATTTATACAATTTCAATTTTACACTTATAAAAATATTATTTACATAATAAATTGATTGATTGATTATTTTAATTTATAATTATATTTTTTACAAATTTAATTTAAACTTTTATACAATTAACAACTTGCTTTAAATGAATAATTCATTTATATTATTTTTTTTTTGTATTTAAATAATAAATTTGATTAATTGATGGTTTTAAAATTAATTTAAACTTTTATACAATTAACAATTTAATTTAAATGATTTAAATGAATAATTCATTTATATCTATTTTTATATTTTTTATTTATTTACAAGTTTAAATATAAAAATAGAAATAAAAATAATATTAAGTGTTACACTATATTTGAATGAATTAAATCTGTTATAAAATAAATATAAATAGAGTTAAAAAAAAAAAAAAAAAGGAAAAGTTTTATAAAACAATAAATAGTATTTTTATATTATTCCTTTTACAAAAATATAAAAAAAAAAATTCAGAATGAATTATCAATTTCACAATGTATACACATTTGACAATGAACATGAAACCACATTAGATTGGACTAATAATTTCAATTCTACAGTAATTACTAATAACCCTTATAACCAAATACAATCAATTACAAATCAAACAAATTTATCACAACTATCTTATTGGAGACCTTCTTCAAAATTACAAAGACTATATGATAAATTTCAAAACAATATTTTAAAACAATGGTCTCGAATTGCATGTATTTATTGTGAAAAATTATTATATCCTGAGAAGGCATGTTGGATAATTTATAATTCATCCGTAATATATCCCTTGTAACAAAATATTCCAGATGTAATTCTGTCCTTCCACCCACACACAAATCGTATTTCTGAAAATAGGTTCCCACATGTGACTCTTGTAAAAATCCTTCTACGAAATTTTTATTTTCCTACTTATTTCTAATGTCAGAAGAAATAGTTTCGGTTCCCTTATATTTAAGGGGGTAGGCTAAAGCGGAGTAGAATCATGTGAGGTGATTTCGGGTTAAGGCGGAAGTGTGATCGTATCACATGT